TGCATCTGGGGACCGAGACCCCTGCCACCTGCTCACATCGTTGGAAGAGCTGGTTCACTCCCCACCCCACCCCACCCCTACCCCCGGGGTGTTCTGCTCCCTGAATCTCAGAGGAGGCTGGTTCAAGCCATGTGTCCCCACTCAGGGAAGCATTCCAAGAAGGCCAGGACAGGTGGGGTGGAGATTTGGCTTCTCACCGTGGCTGCCCGTGACCTTGAGCCTCAGTTTACCCGCCTGTAAGATGGTGACAACACTATCCCCCTCATGGCCTGTTGGCTTGTCCAGCTGCCGGCAGTGGTTGGCGCCCCAGGGCCGCCGAATGGTTCATGACCAGCAGTAAGCTCCCTGATCAGCAGGCCCTTCTTCCTGCTGCCCCCATCTCCCCCTCGACTGAACCCCCTCAAATCCTCACAGCCCCTATGCGCCAAGCCAGGAAAGACCCCTGCCTCCTCCCCAAGGTCGCCAGAACTCCCACTGAGCTTCAGGTGCCAGATGGGCCGATGCATCCAGCCCACACCGGCGTCCTGGGGGCTGGCGCCCATCAATCCACTTTTCCTGGAGGAAGCTGAGGCTTTCCCATTTGGAGTCACTGCTGGGCAGCTCCTGTCTGACCGCAGAGCAGGGCCCTTCTCTCCCAGGGCTTTGCCCCCTGATCTGGGAGTGGGGGGCACAGGTCCGGGCTTCCTGGATCTCACCTGAGCTAGGTTCCAGGTGAGCGAGAGCAGGCCAGCCCCACACCCCAGACCCGGACGGATCCCAGCCGCCCTCTGATCTAAGTCTGGGCTGGGAGGGGCCCCCTGCCTCACTGGGGCAAGGGGAGCAAAGTTCCAGGCCGGCTGCAACTGCGGAGGAAGGAGCTGGGAGCTGGGCCCCTGTCTCTCCCATCCCTCCATGCTCCAGGCATGTTTCCTGAACAGCCTCCCTGGCTGCTGAGAGAGGACAGTGGGGGGCTAGGGGTCGACAGCTCTGTGTGACCGAGGCCGGCCTGAAGGCCCCGCATGCTGGACAGGGCCTGGGGACCCTGGCCGTGGCAGCAGCGTGGGGAGGGGTGTCGCTGGCTGCTGGTGCAGCGCAGAGGAAACCAGGGCCCCCTCAGCCCCCAGGAAAGAACCCCCCGGAAGAAGGAGAGTGGCAAAAGGCGCCCAGGACCAGAGCCTGAAGCTCTAGGCAGCAGGGGTCCGAAGAGCAGGCTGAGCAGTGGAGGGACCAGCCTGGTGGGGTGCTGGGGCCCCTGACCAGAGCCCTGCCGGAGCACCCACACCATCTGCAGGTGGCCGTTGGCTCCATCCTGGAAGTGTCTCCCTGCCTGGGTGCTCACACCCACAGGTCAGTGATGGAGGGCAGCAACCCCCTGGGAGGGTTGGCTGGGCCTCCTGACTTGTGTCTGGGCAGAGAAGCTGTGGCAAGCAGGTGCTGGAGGAGCAGGAGATGGAGGTTACACAGGAGACAGACTCCAGGGTTGGACTAATGCGGGTTCCAGATTCCTGCTTGCCTACAGTGGCTGTGTGATGCTGGGCAAATCGCTTGCCTGCTCTGGGCCCCCGTCACCCCTTTTGGGAAAGGGGGTCCACGTTGATGTCTCTAGAGAGACGATGGAGCCAGTGGGGGGTTGTGGGTCAGGTGGCTGACTCGGCAAGTTTGACCAGTTACACTTGAATTTCAAATAAACAATGATATATATATATTTTAAGTCTATGTCCTAATCATTGGGTGAAACACACCAAAATTGACTCATGGTTTATGTGAAATTCCAGTTGAATTGGATATTCTGTATTTGGCATCCTGAGTCATCCTGCCAGAAATGCAGAATAAGTGCCCAGGAGATGCTGTTAACAATGGTGGTCGGGTTCTGCCAGTGACTCTCTGTCTTCCCCCTGCTGGGCCCTGTCCCCAGGTTCCAGGTCTGGCTTAGTGGAGGTGAGAGGAGGCTCCCTTCCCTGGCCGACCCCTTGGCTGGGCTCTCGCTTACCTTCGCCGCACTTGCTACTGCCAAGCAGCAGGCGAGGCCCAAGACGAGCAGCTCCCAGCGCCCCATGGTGTGCGGCTGCCTCTGTGACACCTGCCTCGGAGCCTGTGGGTATTTATGGGGCTGGAGCCAGCCCAGAGCTGCCTGCGGACGGACCCTTCCCCTCCTGTCATTGGTCCTTCCTCCAGGCTGGCCGCACTCCAGGTGGCGTACCTGGGGCCAGGGGACAGCTGCTGTTTCCAGCGGGGCTCGGGCGGGGCCAAGGTCACATGCAGACACACACACCACATGCACACACGTGCAGGGATGGTCCGTCTTTCCCAGGGTCCGCTGCTCCCGCGTGACCTGGCCCCACAGGGCACCTGCGCCTACCTGGGAGCCTAGGCAGATGGCAGGGCGGCGGGGAGGGCAGGGGCTCAAGGATTGGAGCTTGGCTGGGCGCGCAGTGCCGACAGAGGACTTGCTTTTGCCCTCGGGGAAATGGGCTCGCTTTGTCCCCGTGCCCTGACTGCAGTTCAGCAGAGGCCGTTTACAGGGTTTGGGCCTGACTTCTGGGACAGAGCTGGCCATGGGCTACCAGGCGGCTGGTGTGGCCCCTCGCTGGTCCCAGGGTGCTCTGGGTGTCTGTACTGGTGTGAGGCGGGGGTGGGGACTGAAGCAGCGCCAGGTCGTCACCCGGCTTTCAGCAGCACAGTGCTGGCAGGCGGGGACGAGACTCCAGTCCAGCCTGGAGGTTTTCCCCAAGGAAAGGGAGGGCCAGCCTTTCCAGCCACAGAGGGCCCAAACAAAGACCCCGGGGCCACCAGCCTGTGGCCAAGACCCACAGAGACCTGCAGAAACACAGTTGGTCAAACTGCCTGTCTGCCTCTCATTTCCAGTGCCCAGATCTTCTGTGATGCAGAGTGAGTGGAGAGGCTGGAGAAATGTGGGAGGGTAGGTGGCTGCAGGTGGGAGCCAGGAGTTAGGATGCTGGGAAGAAGGAACAGTGTAGGCCGGGCCGGGCTGCAGGTTTGAGGGATGCCGGCAGTGACAGGAAGATGCACTTGTTGGCTCACACCTTTGTCCAGCCCCTCCAGTTCTAAGAATCTGCTCTAAAGGAAGTGACTCTGAATATGGGGGAGAGGAAGCCTGTGCTCGAGGAAGTTCAGTGGCAGTAGAAACCAAGGAAGGGGGGGCACCCGAGAGCAAACGGTGGGCTGGGTCTAAGACCGGAAGTGAGGTGGAGGAGCCTGGGCCATCACGGTGCCCAGAAGCAAGAAGGCTGGGTAGACCAGATGGTATGTCGAAGGACACAGCAGCCAGCCTGGGGCTGTTCTCAGGGCAGAGATGAGACGACCTGGGCAGCAAAAAGCAAGACTGCGATTGATTGAAACAAACCATCGCAAAGCTAAAAACGTCCCCCTGGTCATCACCAGGGCCAGAAATGAGGCCGGGGGACGAGGGTGACCTCAACCCAAACTGCAGGTCAGTCAGTGCTCGTGTCTCTGAAGGGGCCCAGCAGACACTGGAGCCTCCCAACTGCACGGGCACGTCTGAAGCTGAATTGCCGTTAATTTGTGAGGTGTGATGACAGCATCACTGTGTTTTTAAAACAAAAGCCTTGATGTGTTAGAAACATACACTGAAGTACCGGATTTCCTTAAAACAGTTCCAGCAAAACACAAATACGAAATAGAACAGAAACACGGACAGGGATTTCCCTGGTGGTCCAGTGGCTGATTCCATGCTCCCGATGCAGGGAGCCCAGGGTTCAACCCCTGGTCAGAAAGCCAGACCCCGCATGCCACCACTAAATATCCTGCATGCTGCAACCGAAAGAAGCCACGTGCCACAAAAAAGACATGGCACAGCTAAACTAATTAGCAAGTACGGTTTTTTAAATCAGGAGTAGATGCAACAGGTTTGGTAGAAGGTAAATGGGACTTTTTATACAATATGCAGTATTTTCGTGTATATTTGCTCTTTTCCATAAACAATATGCTTCTTTAAAGGGGGTGGTGGTGGTGGTGCAGGCGTGTATGCTTCTAAGCTGAGAATCGCTGAATGCTTGTCGAGGACCTGGCAAGGCCACTCAGGCTGGCACACAGTAGGCAGGCTCTGGGAACCGTGGTGCTGAGCTGCAGAGGCAGGGTGCTTGCCTGCCTCAGGCATGCCTTTCTCAGCTCTGCACAGGAACTGAGGGAGTTTCTGGGTGGGAAGCCAGAACCCAGACCCTCTCCACTGAGGTCTGAGCTTAGCAGCATGGCTCAGGAGAGGTGGGACGAGTCCCAGCTGAGACCCGCCGGCTGGGACCGGCGGCCTGAGGGAAAGCCTTGCAGAGGTGAGGCATGGGGCACGGCCCAGCCTGGCCTTCGGAACAGCTGCTTCTGGCCTTCTGGCTGAGGCGGGCTGACGGGCTCCCCTCTGGCTGGGGCAGCGTGTGGGGTGTGCGCCCAAGGAGTGTAGGTTCGGCCCCACCCAGGGACCTGCTTGCCCTCTGGTTTCTCACCAGGCAGTGTTGAGACGACGATGTCGTCCCCAGGAACCCCTCTGCAACACGTCCTTGTGGAACATGAAGGGGTGAGCGCGTGGCTGGAGCACCCTCCGAGGCGGCTCTCGCCTGGCCCACCCGCCGAGGGGTGCCTGGCCTGTTCTCAGCCATCCCAGCATCACCAGCATCAGGTCACTGACGAGCAACTGAAGGGACAAATGACGTCCGGCTGGAGCCCAAGCCCCGAGGCCAGAGAAAACCCTTCTCGGGTTCTGACACCCGAACAGAGACACCCAGACTCCTTGGGGAAACGTCTTTAATGAGGGCAGTTCCAGCTGGGCCTGCCCTTTGCCAGGTCACCCCAACGGATGGGGTCTAAACCTAAGGACAGTCTTCGCCACCGTGATCTGGACCAGGGTCCCCGCCCCGCCCTCACCTCCAGTCTGAGCTGCAGCCGGGCCGGCCCCTCCCCAGCCGCACCGTCCCCACCTCAGGTCCCGCTGGCTTCAGCCAGGGCCAGGGCTGGGCGCCGGGCTGGTGAGGCCGGGCGCAGGTACTCGGGGCCAGGGGCAGCGCACCCCGCTGCCCTCCTCGGACGGGCCGCCTAGGGCCGTGCTGGCTGCTGCAGGCGGCGCTGGGGTCCCTGCCGCGTGCCGGCCCTCAGCGGGCCTGGGCGGGGCCCGGCCGCGTCACACGTAGTCCAGGATCTCCGTCTCCATCTCGTTCTCGCTCCCGTCGGACGGCTTGAACTCCTCCTCCTCCTCCTCCTCGTCCTCCTCCTCGTCTTCCCCCGACTCGCCGGTCAGCTGCTCCTTCCCACTGTCCGCTTTGGTCGGGCTGGAGAAGAGGGCTAGGCCCAGAGAGCAGGCCAGGTGTGTCCCGATGCTGGCCCCGGGCGGCCCCCACACTGGCCGTCCCTGGTCTCAGCCCCGGGGGCCTGTCTACAAATTCAGGGGCTGGGGCTCCAGCTCTGAAGCTGTTCCGGGAAGTACGGTGGCTGGTGGGCCCGGACTCGATTAACCAGCACCTCAGAGCAACACGGATGCCCAGGGCCTTAGGAACCTTCCCGGAGCAGCCCCAGGCAGCTCGGGAGTCCAGGGGACCCCGCAGGAGTGGGCCCAGGCTGGCTTTCCTCGACTGGACGCTCAGAGGGGCTGGCGTCCTGGGGGAGGCTGAGCGCCCCGGCTCCTGTCAGCTCTGTGGGGGTCGGTGGCCTGGGACGCCCCCCACCCCAAGCCTGGAAGGAGCCCCAGAGAGGGTCCTTTCCCTTACTCTCCCCCAGCTCCGTCAGAGCCGTGGGCCAGCACAGGGCTCGCTCCCTCCCCACGCCCAGGGGAGGGCGGGCAGCACACAGCGACACGGCCCCCGCCCCCAGGAGAGACAGGAGCGACCTGCCCACATGTGGCTGCAGGACGCAGGGTGATGTCCAGGCGTGAAGTGGCGGCCCCGAGGGCAGCCCCAGCCCCAGTCTTCTGGGCCCGGTTCCTGCCTGGACCCCCACGGCTGAGCGCCTCAGGGGGCTGCCGGGGGTGGGGTGGGGTGCTGGCTCCTGGCTCCCACCGGGTAAGGTTTCCTGGGGAGCAGGTCCTTGAGGGATGCCTGCTCCAGCCCCGGGGAGGCCCACGCACACGGGGCGAGCGGCTCTCACCAGGCCTCTTGGAGCGGATGGTCTGCCGGATCATGAGGGACATGGTATCCCTCAGCTCGTCCGTGGTCTTGGGGAGGCACCAGCCATCGCGCTCGGTGCACGAGCTCTCCGCCCCGTCGTTGCGGTGAATGATTCTCTGCAGCCTGGGTGTCGGGGACAAGGGTCGGGGGGCGTCTCTGCTCAAAGGTGGGGGGGTCTCTGCTCAAAGGCTGGGGGGGGTCTCTGCTCAAAGGTCAGGGGGCGTCTCTGCTCAAAGGTGGGAGGGGTCTCTGCTCAAAGGTCCAGAGTGTGGGTCTCTGTTCAAAGTTCTGGGTGGGGGTGGGAGGGTCTCTGATCACAGGTGCCAGTAAGCGGTTTCGACAGAGCTGGCGTTGTGCTCAAAAAAACAGCACTCAGCGCTGTCCCGTGGACAAGCATGGTCACAAAGGGTACCCTTGAAAGCCACTCCGGACTCCAACCTGGGGTAAGCTGCCCCTCCAGCCCAGCACCCCTCCCCCAGCTTTCTAAACATCACTGCGAACAGCTGGGTTAAACGAGTCTGGGGTTCTGTCAGCTCTGGGGACTGGGAATCATGTCAGGAACCCCCGTGCGGGCCACACAGGAGGAAGACAAAGACCCCAGCCCAGTGCCACGCTCTGCGCCCGGGATGACTGGCTGCTAGGGGCAGGGTGGCCCATGGGGCCCCCAGAAAGCCACTGCTGTGTGCCACGTGAGCCCGGCCAGAGGAGGGCCGGCAGCACTCGCTCCCTGGGGCTTGCCATCCCGAGGGGTCATGGCGGACATGAAAGGGAAGAAAGGCAGGACACCCTTTGGTCCCTGAGGTTTTCTGCTCTGCGCCCGAGCCCCCTGGTCCCCGCCTCGGTGCCCCGCAGGTACGTACTCCTCCACGTTCAGGTCACAGAACTGGTAGAACATCTGTCGGTACGGCGGCAAGGCCCCCTCCTGGAAGATGTAGACCGAGTCCTGGAAAGGAGGGCCGAGACGAGCCGGGAGGTCAGGGGAGCGTCCCGGGGGAGGGCGGCACTGGAGACCCCACAGTGGGCGGCTCCCCGGGCCCTCTCCCAGGGCAGCGGCCTGTGCCGGCCCCGAGACCTGGCAGCCTTGGCTCTCCTCTCTGGATTCAGGTGGGCGGACGGGCCAGAGGCCGGGAGGACATGAGCTGTGACCCCCCAGCACGGACGGGGTGGAAGCAGCCAGGACCCCAGGACCCTCGAGCCGCCCCCAGGACCACCAGGCTCGTCTGGTGGGGAGGCCCCACTAGGGCTGGGCTCTGCCTCGGCGCTTCTCTGAAGGGAGGCCTCCTCACTTCTCCTAACTGGTCATCTTAGGAAGAGCTGCAGACCAGTTCCAGAGGTGGGGACTGCGGCCTAAAATGAGGCCCCCGAAGGCGAATGGCTGCTCGGGTGAGGATGCGGCCTCCCTCCCTGAGCAGAGAGACGGACGCTGCGGCAGATAGCTGGCCCCAGCCCTCTGTGGCTGGGGACTCCTCCCCAGGCCTGGAGCAGCTCACATCAGGCCTTGGGACGTCACTGCGTCTGCTGGGTGGCTGTGCTAAGGAGGCCCGAGCCTGGGAGGGCGGCCCTCGTCCAGCCCACGGCTGGGTGCAGGTGGTCTGCTGTGGCTCTGGGCTCACAGCCCTCCGTCTCTCCCTTCCCGGGGGGTCACAGGGGCCTCAGGGCCCGATTCAGAGGGCAGTGCATGCAGCTGCTGGTGTCTGAGGACCCTCCCTGAGACGGATGTGCCCCGGTGGTCAACATCCCTGCCCCCGGGGACTCGCATCCTGAGTTGTGTTTGGAGGCTGTGCTGGGAGGTGGGAGTTGGGTGAAGGGACCGGAAGGACCGGGCAGCCTCTGTCAGAGCCTCCCCGCGTCACAGGCGAGGCTCAGCGTGGGCAGCAGAGCCTGGCCTGCCCGGGGAGGGGCCGGCGCGCCACCCAGCCCTCGCTCTCGCCCAGGAAGGCAGGCTGCCGACACCCACCTTGAGCTTGTACTTGTTGGGACTCGACTTCTGTGCACTGGCCGACCCTGAAGGGCCCAGGCCTTGCTTCAGGTCATGCATGGTGACGAGCTGGCTGGCTGCGAGGGGACCACGGCAGGGGTCTGGAATACAGGGGGGTATTTCTCCCGCCCCCCGACCGCCCCCTCCCACTCTGGGGCGCGCTGGCCAGCAGGGCCCTAGAGTGAACTTTTGGGAGGCCCCTGCCCCTCCCGCAGTCTGGATGCCCCTCTTTCCCGGCGCCTGCTCTGCAAGGGAGCCCGAGGCCCTTACTGGTCTTTTTGACGGTGATGGGGAGGCTGTAGTTGTAGGTGCTGCGCTTGGCCTTGACGGGCATGTCGCTGGGGGCGTAACCTGCCGGAGAGGGCGGGCGCGTCAGGCTAGGGGGTGCAGAGCCCCTGACAGCGCGGCCCGCACCACAGGTGCACCGGGGCTCCCGGGGCGGCTCCTGAGAGAGGCACAGCGGCCCCCGAGCTGGAGAGACAGGAGCCGCCGTGTCTCGGTGCTTTGTGTGCGGGGGACTCACCGCAGGCGGGGGACGGACACTGACCGGATGCCTGGCCTGCACGGCAGGAGCCGCAAGTAACTGTGGAAGAACAGAAGGACCACTAGTGGCACCACGGGGCCAGGACGGGAGCTCGGGGCCGTGGGCCTGCGCTAGCCCGCCTCCAACAAGCCTGCCGAGGGCGGAAGGCGCTTCTCTCCGTGCGGACCTATTCTCATCACCCAAGAGAACGCTGCAAACGCAAAGCTAGGAAGGGAAAAGGAAAGCAAAGGTTTTAGTGACTGTTTACCGTATTTCATTCCACATCGGATTCGGAAGTCAAGCACTTGATAAATCTTGGCCTCTGGGCGTTTTCGGGGGTCAAATCCAAATCGAATCCACAGGCTTCTCCAGGGGCCTGTTATCTGGAGACAAAAAGGGTGGGGTGTGAGGTGAGATCCGGCCGATCCCGGCCCCCCGAGATGCAGGCCCGGGGGCCGCCCAGGAGGGGCTCTGCTGCCCTTGCCCCCCAGGCGCGCACACGTGGCTCTGTCACCTGGGGCGGGTCACTCGACCCCGCCAAACCTCGGTCTTCCTGTCAGAGGGCATTTCTGGGAGGATTAAAGGAGTGTTAAAGCTGAAGCTCCAATACTTTGGTCACCTGATGAGAAAAGCCGACTCACTGGAAAAGACCCTGATGCTGGGAAAGACTGAGGGCAGGAGAAGGAGAAGACAGAGGGTGAGATGGTTGGATGGCATCACCGACTCAGGAACATGAATTTGAGCAAACTCATGAAGGAGATGAAGGACAGGGAAGCCTGGCACGCTGCGGTCTGTGGGACTGCACCAGTTGGACACGCCTGAGCGACTGGACAGCAACAACACAGGAGACGGAGGCCCTGGCGCCCTTGGCACAGTGCCTGGCACAAAGGAAGAGCTTGAGAACCGTCACGACTATGCTGACGGAGGGAGGCTCTGGCCCACAGAGCTCTGATGGTCCTCTGTCCAGAGAGCCAAGGCTGAGAGGCAGCTTCGTGAGGCCGGGTCTAGGCCGAGGAAGGACGAGCCCGTCTGGTGCCGCCCACCCCCGCGCCCCCCACCCCACCTGCCATCACAGTCACATCGCTTGCCTGCCCCTCCAGGGCCCCACGTTCAACCCCTGGCCGGCAGGAGCGCCTCCTCGTAGCCCCTTGGGGAATCTCGACAACGACACCCCCATCTCTGTGCCCTCTTGGACTCAGTCCAAGGTACATCTGCTGTGCAGTGAAGGCCACTCGACCTGGGAGAAACGGTGAATGCAGGCAGCACTGTGGCCAGGGGCCCTGGGAGCTCTGCCACATGCTGGCTGCGGGACGCTGGCACGTCAAGCCCCCAGGCCAAGCCAACCATCCTCACCAGAGCAACACCCCTGCTGCCGCGCCTGCAGAGAAGAAAGGAGGCTGTGCGCACAGCACCCCAGCCCCTGGTCCTGGAAAACTCTCAGCTCAAGGCCATTAAAAAACACACAATCCCTTTACTTGCAAGTTACGTGATCAGTCTTGAATCCCACAGTCACCCCAATGTGGCCGACGTGTGACCGGGGAGGGCCTCTGCAGGGGTGGTAACGAGCCGCCCAGTGCGTGCCAGGATCAGGACGACCCTGGCAGGAACCCAGGAGGCGGCGGGTGGACCCTTACCATGTAATAGGCCACGAAGGGCAACAAGATCTTGAGCTTGTCAGGGTGGACGCTGATGTTGGCCTTGAGGGCGTTGCGTGACCAGATGGGACGGATGTCAAACAGCTGGAGGGTCAAAGCCGAGGCTGAGAGGAGGATAGGCAGCTTGCCCACCGGCCCCAGGGCCCCCACAGGGTCTGGCCCCAGAGGGGCAGCTGGCAGGGAGCCACCTCCAAGAGCCGCTGTGCGCTGGCTGGTCCCTCCCTCAGGAGTGGCCTGTGCACCCAGCTGGTGTCCAGGGCAGCTGGGCCAGGGTGTCCTGGAAGGACCACGCGGGGCACCGTCCCTGTCCTTTTGCAGCTCAAAGGATAATGGGAGGCAGAGGACAAAAGGTGCCCGAGCAGGGCCGTGAGGGGGACAGGCCAGGGCAGGAGTGGCCCCGAGCCACAAGGAGGCTGGGCTGCGTGCAGAGGATGGGGGGGTGGGGCTCGGAGAGTGGCCCTACGTCCCCTGACCCAGTGACTTGGGCCAGGTGGAAGGCTGCCTCCTCCTGGGGCCGCCCAGCCAGCCGACTCTAATGCGGAGGAAGGGCCAGGCCTGGCACGCAGCAGGTGCCCCAGCTGATGTGCCTGGGCCAATGACTGGAGGAAGGAAGTTTCTGGAACCCCGGAGCTCCAGGTTGCAGTCACGCCTGGACCACGCTGACCCCCAGAAGACCTCGAAGGAGGCTGAAGAACACTTTCAGCCTTGGGAAGGCAGGGTATACACGGGCAGAGCTTTAGATGTGGCATCTGGAGGTAACAGTTCCGGCGAGTTAATGAGCAAGTCTGAGACCAGCATGGGGCCCCGTGGGTAAACGGGGCAGCCGAGGGGGCCTCAGGTAAACGGGCAGCCGGGGGGACGGGCGCACCTTCCTCAGCTCCTCCTCCACTCTGTGGTCCACGGGGTTGGTGCAGACCTTCTTCCACGTCTGGACCGCGGCCTCCATTGGCCGCTCGGGCACCTCGTCCCCCTCAAAGTTGACAAAGATGGCGTTGTGGGGGCGCCGGGCCCTGCTCAGGCCAATCAGGTTCTCGCCCGAGATGGCGGGATTGTTGTAGCCTTCCCTAGGGGCAGAGAGAGGGGTGAGGGCAGGAGCACCAGGCGTGGGCCTGGCTGGACACTGGTGGCCCACGTCTGAGTGCTTCCATTGGAACCTGGGCGAGAGAAGGACCTCAGTGCCAGCCAGGGGAGAAGAGGCAGCAAGTCTGAGAGCTTAGGGAGGCTCTGAAGCTGGGCCTCAAGTCCCAGAGGCTGGTGACCTCACACCCGCATCGAGTTGTCACGGCACCGTCCAGCCAGCGAGAAGCTGGGAGCAGCCCAGCGTCCGTCAGGCAGGGAGCGGGGAGTCAGCGGAGGTGTGGCCACACAGGAACCACGGATCCTCTGTCGGCTGGGCTTACTGACGTCACAGCTTGCTCATCTAACCCTCAAAACAGTCCTTCCATCTTCCCATAACGAAGGACCCAACTTCCACAAGTCCCTGAGGCCATGGGGGTTGGAGACCTGCTTGGGCCAGGGCTCAAGGAGACAGAGCTGGGATTCCAGCCCAGGGAGGCTGGGCAGGGAGATGCAGGGGTGGGTGGCGGTGGCACCGACCGCTGTCCGGCCGCCTGCGATGGAGCCTGAGTCCCTGACTTGGAAGCATCTCAACGATACTGCAGTGAAGGGAGGACGGATACTGCCGAACGGTCTTGTCACAGAGCACAGAGGCTAACAGGACTCTCCTTCCACTGCGGGGACACAGGTTCCCTCTCTGCTCAGGAACTAAGATCCCGCAAACCACGTGGTATGGCCAAGAGTAAAAACAAGTGTTTAAAAAGGACTCTGCTTCTACAGCAGAAAACAATACAATATTGTAAGGCAGTTATCCTTCAACTGGAAACAAACAAATTAAAAAAGAAAAAAGCACTCTGTCACCAGCGACTGTGCTGGGCCTGCCTTTATGAGCACGGAACACACAGGGCCAACACCTCCCAGGAAGCTCCGAGCGCCTGCCTCTGTGGTGGAGGTCGGAGCGCATGGCCTCGCTAAAGCAGAGGAGCAGCCCCAGGGACCCCCAGATGCCCCCCGTCATCTCCCACAACTGCCATCACATGGCCACTTCCACACCATCCAGACCCCACCCCAACCCACTGAGTCGTTTTGAAGTGCTTTTTAAAGCATCCTGGATGTCACACAGGGGATTATTCCCTTTTAAATCTCTTTCCATTTCATCTTAGTTTTCCATGAGTACACATCATCTGCATATTTACAAAGAACAACAAAGTGACTTTTCACATCGGGAAATAGAATTACAAAGATGGGATCAAACCTGTGCCTTTTTCCAAAAGCGTGACTCCATCAGAAACCCCCCAAACGTTGTACAGTTTTCAAAGACACCTCCCTGAAGTCCCAGACACCTGAGCAGGAAAACCCCTGGCGGCCCCCCTGGGCCAGACAGCAACTGCAAGGAGAACTGCCACCCCCCCCCCCAGCCTGGCTGTCTCTGCTGGCTCCCCCCACCTCAACTGCCTCGAGGAGGAGGGACCCCGTCAGGAGTCCACAGGCCATTTGGAAGGTGAACCTCCCTGGACCAGGGCAGGCCAGTGAGGCGGATGCCAGGCCTCCTCGGCCAGTCCTCGGCACCCAGGAAGGTCAGCAGAGCAGAAGAAGTGATAGCAGCCCTGGGAGAAAAGGCAGACTCTTTCCATGTGCCCGAAAATCGATAAAACACACAGGAGAAAAACAGGGCCCGTGGGTCCCGGGGCAGCTGGCTTTCCACCCCAGTCCCCCTTCCAGAGGCGGGGGGACGGCTGTCTGCTGGCCCCAGGGGACAGAGAAGTGACTTGAATGCCACCAGCCAGTGGGGTGGGATAATGGACTCAACAGGCCTGAGAGACGGCAACCCTTGCCTGGCTCTCGAGTCACCTTGGAGACAACGGGGCAGCAGAGAGGCCTGGGCTGGGATGGCGCTGAGGACGCTGTTACGCTCGCTCGTTCTGCAGACGGTGCTGTGGCTACCTTAGTCCTTCCCGTCAGAGACGCATACCGACTTGTTTCTGGAGGACGCGCTGTGATGCCAGGGTGGCGGAGGGGGAGAGGAAGCCAGCAGCGGAAGGCTGCTAATGGCTGAAGCTGGTGATGTGGGTGGGGGGTCCAGACACCGCCCCTCTCCTTTTGGAACTCCACAGAATGCACTTTTTAAAGGAAGAGAACCATTCCTCTTTCTCTTCAGGGCAGAATCTAAGCTCCTCCGCCGGGTCTGCGGGACCCTCAGCCACCAGTCTCTCGGCTTCAGGGACAACACCCCTAGACCAGTCCTCTGCAGCAGCCAGCAGCAGCACCCGGGTCTGGCATGCCCTCCCTCCCCGGATCTTCACTTGCCCGCTGTTTCAGAGGTCACGGCCCCCAGGAGTCCTCCCTATGCCCCACTCACGGTCCACAACAGCCCACTCCCCACCTGTCCCCTTTAAGACACACGCCTGCCCACTGGCCCCCGCTGCCCACTCATTCACCCCACATGGCCCGCCGCTCCCCAGCTGGGCCCCTACAGAGCCGCCTGTCGTGTTCCCTCCGAACCTGGCTCCATGGGGCGGCCTGGGCCCCGCCAGGCGGGCAGTGCTCATTGCTGGAAATCCTTGATGAGGGAGAAGGTGCTCGTCTGCCTGCCCCTCCAGAGATGACTGCCTGGCCCCACCTTCCCGGTTCTCCCAGGCTTCTGTTCTCAAACTCAGTTTGTTTTTATGGCATGCAGTCTGCTCTGGCGCAGTTCTCGGGACACAAGCCACATCGGCCCACGGAGCCAGCTCTGGTCAAGGCAGCGTGGTCTTCCCTGGCACAGACATGCCGTCATTTAATTAACTACATGGCCCCTATTCATGGACTGGTCGCCAGCCGCTTATCCGCTGTCTCACACTCTGCCGGCACTCACTGTTCTGAGTATTCCCAAGAGCTTCCGTCATGCAGCTCTCTAATGATGCAGAGACGCGGGGACTATTACTATTGCTATCAGGCAGCGAGGCGGGAGCAGGAGGTTGGGGCTCTTGTGGGATCACAGGCCCAGGACCTGAACACAGGGCCTACCGGCCCGGGCTCTCCCACCACACCAGGTTCTCCCAGCTTCCTGCCCACAACCAGCCAGGAAATGCTCTCATCAGTGTATTATCTTCGAGCACCGAGGTGGGAATCACTATGGGATAAATTCCTACAGGAGGAACCACTTTGTCGACTGGAAAGAACATTTAACACCACAGCAGGGAAATTCCCTGGTGGTCCAGTGGTGAGAACTACGTGCTTCTACTACAGGGAACACGGGCTCTATCCCTGGTCAGGGAACTAAGATCCCCTAAGCCACGAGGTATGGCCAAACTTAAAATAAAACAAGACTGTAATAAATTCTGCCAGATCGCTCTCCAAAAAAGTCAACCCACCTCATTCTTGGTGCTCCCGGGTAGGAGGGGTCTGTCTCTCCCTGCTCTCAGGTACACACCTTTGGTGATGGGCCCTCCAGACCTGGGGCGACACCTTGACTGACATTCCGTGGTGTGGGGACAGCCCTAAGCAAGGCCTCTGGGTGAGATGCAGGGACCAGGGCAGGTTCCTGACTCCTTTGGTCACCAGCTGCTCTGCTGTTAGAGGCCCTGGGGCCATGGGACTGAGCAAAGCCGGCTGCCCTGGCCCCCGGGCCTGTGAGTGGTAGCGTCCAGCCCTCTGAGCACAGGGCCCTCGCCCTGAATCCCGATGCTGCACAGCAGCGGCCAAGGGAGGCACTCACCGGTGCTGCGTCTCTGGACGGTAGTAATAGTCCACCGGCGTGTCCAGCCTGGAGAAGATGGGCGGGGGGATGTAGAGCGGCAGGTCCTGGTGGAAGAAGCTCTCCTTCTGGGGCTTGAGCATGAGCACCTTGTCGTACATGGACATCTGCCTGCCGTCCGCCTCCGTGTGCACCGCCAGGTACTGGAAGTCGGACATTCCTGGGGAGGGAGGCAGATGGATGGCGGATGCCCTTTAACACCGCCCAGGCCCTGGCAGCTGCCACACAAGGCCCACATCTGCTTGGGGGTGGTGAGGGGGGCTTGCAGGAGAGGTTGCCGGGGAAGAGTGGCAGGAACTGAAACCACCCCCACCTTGAATCGCTTCTGGGAGCTCGGCCCCGGGCGCTCCAAGTCACCTGGAGAGATGTTATTTGGGGGGTGGGGGCTGCATGACCCTGAGGATGGAGTCCAGGTCGGGAATGTGCGTGCCGCACCTCTCACGAGCCCCAGGTGAGGCTGATGCTGCCGGTCCGGGACACACACTGAGCGGGAACTGCCGGCTCAGTTAGAGAGGAAAAACGCATCATGGGAGAGCCCCGTCCCGGGAAGGACAGCCCGCTCTGGTGAAGACACATTCCAGCAGTGATGAACGTTCAAAACGCCCAACGTGCGGGGCTCCTGAGACCTGCGTGAGTCTCTGTGCACTTCCTGTTCTTCGGTTTCAGTCTTTCGCTTCCTTCGGTTTCTATCTCAGAACTGCAGCTGCTGCTATAGACGCACTCCAGACTTGTCAGTTATTTGCCAAGTGCTTCCCGTGCACACGAATCAGCTCTCTACACAGCATCATCTCCCGAATCCCCATGGGGGCCTAAGGGACTCAGAGCCCCCACTGTCAGACAAGCAGACCCAGGGAGGCTCGGGCAGGCATGACTCCCCTCCTTACTCCACACCGCACCCCTGTGAGGACCCTGCGGGAGACATCTAGTTGGCTAAGAGGTCAAAGGACATGAGGTCCTGAGGGGTTGAGGTGATCTGGGAAGGATTCAGACGGCAGACAGGACCAGCAGCAGTCGAGGGTCCCCAAATACGAGGGAGGGGATGGGGTTGAAAATTGGAGGCCTGTGGGCCTTTTCCTTTGGCCCCACAAAATGGTTTTAAACATGAGATTTCTCAGAGAACTCCAGTGGCCAAGAGCCCAGGGTCCATAGGGAGCTGCTGGCTGGAGTGAAGGCAGCCTGCCTCCTGGACGGGGCCCATGCTCTGCCCCCACCCTCACGCCTGGGCACAGCCTGGCCCCCTTCACGGGCGGATGATCCACGCAGCCCCCGAAGGCACGAGGGACACAGGCCCGGAAATAACCCAGGCAGGAAGAATGCATCTCGCAGTTACCTTGAAATTTGAAGACAGTGGAGATGACTCCAAGGCTCTCTATGTCGTACGTGACCCGGGGGCGAGCCTCAGGCCCCAGCGCCCCGCTCTGTCGCCTGGTCTTCCGCTTGATCCGGAGCAGCAGGCTGTTGGTGCTGAAGCGGTTGGCACACACGGGGTGGCAGTAGGGGTCCTTCGGCCGGAAGTAAAGCTCCAACCTCTTGGTGGCATCTGCGTAGATCTGCGGTGAAGCCAAAGGAGACGGTGACGTGGAGGCCAGCTGAGCGATCAGCTCCTCCCTCAGTGAAGGCCCGATGGGGACCGCGGAGGCTTCTTCTGTTTTGTGTTCTGGGCTCTTAGTTCCCAAAAGACTCATTTTCCAAACCCAAGGGTCTCAGCTTTTATCTGGTGGAGAACATGAGGACAGCCTCTTCCTTTCTAAAGCTTCCCTGGTGGCTCAGATGGTAAAGAGTCTGCCTGCAGTGTGCGAGACCAGGGTTCCTTCCTGAGTCGGGAAGATCCCCTAGAGCAGGGCATGGCTACCCACTCCAGTCATCTTGTCTGGAGCATCCCATGGACAGAGAAGTCTGCTGGGTTACAGTCCAAGGGGTCGCAAAGAGTTGGACACGACTGTGTGACTAACACCTTCTTTCTTCTAAAAGATTGTAAAGCAGCAAAGTTGGAGACAATAACTGCCAGTTAAGCAAAGCCTGGTCAGTGCAGGGAACCGCCATTCTTCCGGCAGCACTTCGTGGAGCTGTTACCCCTGCGTCTGCCATGGAGAGTCTGGGTGGGAACCGCATGACTTGTCTAGGGTTAGGAACTACCCACCCCAAAAGGTCCAAGTATTCAGCCTCATTTACAAATGTTTCCAGGTCCAAAGGAGACGAAATCAGTAACAAGCACTTTGGCCCTGACTCGTGTGACTTCTCCTTTCCAGGCCTTGGTTCCTTCTCCTTAAAATGGTAATAGGAGTATCTACTCCTAAGATTCTTATGATGACTAAATGAACATATATGTAAGGTGCTTAGCCTGACACCTAAACCATGGTAAACACTCTACCTGTGTCATCCATACAGGAATGCCTGTCCCACATGGGCTAAGAGGGAACAGTAAGTGTCAGCTGTGTGCATGTGAAAGCACCAACAACGTCCCCTAGGCCAAGGTCACCTACCTGCTGGTGCCCAACACCCAGGACACAGCCTGGCCCTTAGCAGGCGTTCAGGAAGCGTCTAGGGAAAGGAGGTTAAAAAGAGCCCCTACCATCAGGAAATAGGTCTATTAGACTGCTGTGCCAGGAATGACCCTAGATGTGGGGCTGGCACAGAGTGGGTGCACAAGAAACAGGAATGGAATGAATGAGTGACCAGTCTCTTCCCCAAAGGGCTCACCCTGTACCTGGGTACAAACATCCCTGGGTTAGCAGGAGTATGGATCCTGTCAAAGCCACAGTAAAGTCAGTAAGGGTAAAAGAACAAGATGTGACTGACTGGGCCTCTACGAGCCTCCTGTGCTAATGACACGTTCAGGCTTTTCAATATTCATAAAGGATGAGGAAGCAGAATTAAGAACTCAGACTTCAGAGGGAGGCATGTATGTGTTTAAATTCCCACTGTACTATGTAGGGGCTTGTTTGACCCAACTTTTCTTCCTGTGTCTTTACCTAAAAAATGGGAATAATAATGGTACCTAACTCACAGAACTGTGTTTGAGTGTCTCCTGAGGAGGTCTGGATAAGCAGTGGCCTGCCGCAGGGGCAGGGGCTCTGGGTGCAGCAGACCTGGGTATGCCATAAGCCCTCTTGGAGGAGGTCGCCATTAACCCCACCACAGAGCTGCCAGAACTTACACAGGTCTGGGAAACAGACTCTGGGAGGCACAGACAGAAACTTGTGTGCACCAGGACCCAGGAGAAAGGAGCAGCAACCCCACAAGAGACTGACCCAGACTTGCCCAGGAGTGTCCAGGAGTCTCTGGCAGAGGCATGGGTCGGCGGTGGCCTGCTGCAGGGTCGGGGGCAGGGAGTGTAGCAGTGTGTGCACGGGACCTTTTGAAGAAAATTAAAGATATCAAGGGAACATTTCATGCAAAGACGGGCACAATAAAAGACAGAAACGGTATGGACCTAACAGAAGCAGAAGATATTAAGAAGAGGTGGCAAGAATACACAGAAGAACTATACAAAAAAGATCTTCACAACCCAGATAATCACGATGGTGTGATCACTCACCTAGAGCCAGACATCCTGGAGTGGGAAGTCAAGTGGGCCTTAGGAAGCATCACTACGAACAAAGCTAGTGAAGGTGATGAAATTCCAGTTGAGCTATTTCAAATCCTAAAAGATGATGCTATGAAAGTGCTGCACTCAATATGCCAGCAAATTTGACATATTTGCCAGCAAATATTTGCCAGCAAACTCAGCAGGGGCTACAGGACTGGAAAAGGTCAGTTTTCATTCCAATCCCTAAGAAAGGCAATGCCAAAGAATGCTCAAACTACTGCACAATTGCACTCATCTCACACACTAGTAAAGTAATGCTCAAAATTCTCCAAGCCAAGCTTCAACAGTACATGAACCATGAACTTCCAGATGTTCAAGCTGGTTTTAGAAAAGACAGAGGAACCAGAGATCAAATTACCAACATCTGTTGGACTATCAAAAAAGCAGGGGAGTTCCAGAAAAGCATCTACTTCTGCTTTATTGACTGCGCCAAAGCGTTGGACTGTGTGGTTCACAAAGAGTCGGACACAACTGATCGACTGAACTGAACTCTGAGTTCATCACTAGATGGTTGTGAAGATTCAATCATGCATTCAAACAATATTTTGGAAGCAGGCACAATTAGGGATGTTCAGATTACAAGAGTGATCAAGAGAGACCAGGACCCACAAGAGCTGATCATCTCAGAACCAAGGGTCCAAGACAGACAATAAAGACTCTAAAACACAACTTCAGATTGGAATTAGTGGGTGAACTGCTAGCAGCCACTTCAGTAAGGGCAATGAAGGAAGAACTCTCTAAAATAGAGACACTTCAAGACCTGGTGCATTTAAGTCATTGACATACAGCTTTGCACGAGGTAAAGAATTCATCCCAGCTCCACTGTTTCCTGGGGGAACTTGAACAAGCTGTTTTTCAGTTTTCCTGTAAAATCCGGACAACTACACTCCTTACCTGGCAGGGTTCTGATGGGATGCGAATGTAGGTAAAGAACCTAGAAATATAGCTGGTGCAGAATAAATTTGCAGGAGACTAGGGTTCGATCCCTGAGTTGGGAAGTTCTCTGGAGAAGGGAATGGCAATTCACTCCAGTATTCTTGCCTGGAGAATTCCATGGACAGAAGAGAAAGCTGGCGGGCTACAGTCCGTGGGGTCGCAAAGAGTCGGACATGACTGAGGGACTAACACACATACATTACAACTCTTTAACTCTAATAACATAATCCTTCCTCCCCTTCTCATGTAGGTCTGTTGTTGTGTCGCTTTGTCGGTCCGACTCTTTGCGACCCCCATGGACTGCAGCCGGCCGGGCTCCTCTGTCCATGGGACTTTCCAGGCAAGATCACTGGAGTGGGTTGCCATTTCCTTCTCCAGGATCTTCGAATGGCGCGTCTCCTGCACTGCAGGCGGATTCTTTGCCACTGGGCCACCAGGGAAGCCCCTGTTCCCTCAGATCCTAGAGGAAATCAGTCTACGCCCGGCAGCCCCAAAAGCAGACCCTCGCCCCTGGCCGCTCCAGAACCGACTGGAGCTCCGTTGCCAAGGCAACCTCAGATCCCTCCCGGGGTGGTCTCGCCCCTCAGCCGCAGTCCCGCGACTCGGCGCTCCCCTGGGGACTCCCCGCTCCTCACCCGGGAGACGCCTTCCTCGCCGCCCAGGGTCCGCAGCATCTTGGACACGTCGCGCACCACGCCCGGATACTCCACACACACCATGCGCCTCTCGCGCCGCAGTTCCACTGGGATGGCGGCGCCCGGCCGAGCGTCTGCCGCCGCCGCCGCCGCCATCCCTGCCAGTCCAGTCAGGCCCACCGGGGGGCGGGGGGATGGAGGGGGAACGTCCCCTCCACACGCTCCTGGAAGCCTCGTCTCAATGGTTCCGCGAAGGAATCGTTCCGGGGTCCCCTCCCCGCTCGCTTGTAGTCTATATCCTTGAGTTCCGTGAGGCTCGAAGGCTTCGAGGAGGACACGGCTGAGGCTCGGCGGCAAACGACCGCGCAGACCCCCACGTCTGTGTGTAAGATAATAAGCTGAAGCACCCGAGGGGCGGGGTAGAGGCCACTTTCATCAACCAACCCGCGAGGGACCCGGAGGACGTGTAAGATACGCCCAGAGAATCTTTAACCAATGAGAACCCGAGGGGCCAGCAGTCTTTTAGCCAATGAGGAGTCGAGAAGAAGCCGGGTTCCGGCCCCCTCCTTCCGGTTTCCTTTTCGCTAATAAACCAGTCGTAGGCGGGGCCCCGCCCCTTCCTCGAATTCCTCCCACTGACAGCTCTAGGGCGGGTTCGAGGCGGACTTCCGGGGTGTCGTATTTGGCGGGCAGGTCCCAATAATGAATTGGTTTCCGGACGCTCACCTCAAGAGGTGTCTTGAGGGGCTGGGACCCCCCCACTCCCCACCCCTACCCCACTCCTGCTGGCCCTCCGAAGACAGAGGCCACGAGGAGTTCAGTCTGGAAATGGCGAGAGCGAGAGAATTGTGCTTTGAATTTTTTTTTTTTTTTACCATTCTGCGCGCCTTTCAGGATCTCAGTGTTCAGGTGAAAGCCCGAAAGTCTAAGATCGCCACCGGATCGCCAGGGAACTCCCGGGAATTGCGCTTTGCGTGCTCGTCCGCCTGCACCCAGGGCAAACCTGGAAATGCCCCCCACTCACCCCCGGCTGGGGCAGAATGCGGGCGTCGGTCCTCTGTTTCTTAAGCGTTATTTAACGCCTGTTGTGAAGCGTTAAGTGAGC